CTCGAACTCACAGTGATCCTCCTGCCTCGGCCTCGGAGTGCTGGGATTACAAGCGTGCGCCACCACACCCAGCTTATTTTTTTCTTTAATAATACATTTCCTTCCAACTTTTTAAAAAATTACTCCACATATATATAGAAAAGTCCCCAAGGCAAATGAACAACTAATGAAATTTGACAAAACAAATATATTTATAACCAACACTCAAAAACAAAATATGGTCAGAAGCCCTACACATACCCCTTCCCAGTTACTGCCCTCATCCTCTGCCTAAAGGTAATGTTAGAAATGAGCCCCAAGACTCAGGTAGTTGCAGCCTGAAAGAATGCAGTCCGACAGCAAGCAAGAGGACTGAACAAGGCAAAGTTAAAAGTTTACTTTTGCAGAAGGACTGGAGCACACTGAGACACCAAGCAACCAGGGAAGGGGCCAGGATTTAAGCCCTAAGGCAGAGGAAGCAGCTGGCCTTTTTCCCCACTGGCTGGGTTGAAGGTTCACATTCTATCCTGATTGGCTGGTTTAAGCAGAGCGGGGAGGACAGCAGGAGGAAAGAGGGTGTGGGAGCAAAAGACCTTGGCTGTTGATAGCTATCTTTCGTCTGTAGCTATGTTCCCAAAATTTAGGCATTTTCATAATTTCAGTGTGAGGAGTAGGGCCACTTAGGGTGGCCTAGAGTCTTAATGGAGGAGCTCCTGTTTATATCTTTTGATAGAAAAGACAAGGCCACAGCTTCTCACAGTAACTACAATCTTGACTTTGAATACTGTAGTTTTGTTTTGTTTTGTCTTTTTGAGACAAGGTTTTACTGTGCAGTTCAGGCTGGCCTTGAAATCATATTGTAGCCCAGTCTGGCCTCGAACTCAAACTCTCAGCAATCCTGCCTCAGCCTCCTGAGTGCTGGGATTATAGCTGTGTACCACCATGCCCAGCTGTAATTTAAACTGTTTTTGAACTTTAGACAAAGAATCACATGATACGTTTATTTTCTCATGGTTTGTTTTCGTTTTTCGACTTACATTTACCGGGTATTAGTGAGGATTAGGAAAATGAGAACTTTAATACCACCACCAGGGACCAATTCCGTTTGACCAAAATTGAATTTGTGAGGTTCTTCCATGTTTTTTACTTTATTTTTTGTAGTTTTACTTCATTTTCAAAGCTATTTACATTTCATTATATGAGTGCAGTAAAACTGATTCAGCATTCGGTTGGCAGCCGTCTGGTGGTTTCTGTGGTTATGAATAGTGTTGCTGTGCATATTTTTGTCCATACCTCTTACTGCATATGTGTTTTTATTGGCTATGTATTTTGTTCAGGGTGAAATTTGTGGATCCTGATATTTGTGTGGTCAGTTGTAGACAAAAGTTTGATATCAAGTTGGTCCCTGGTGGTGGTGTTAAAGTTCTCATTTTCCTAATCCTCACCGGTGCCTGGTAAATTCAGTCTTTTTTCACATGTTGCAATAGATATGTGATTGTATCTTCCTGTGGTTATGGTTTGCATTTCCAAGATTACTAATAAAGTTGATCTGAAGGTGTGGTAGCTTAGTAGTAGGTAGTTTGTCTAGCACGCACAAGGCCCTGGGTTTAATCCTTGGAACTGCAAAAGCCCAAACAACTAATGTGATCAAGCACCTTGTTATATAGGTATTGATCCTCTTGTCAATTACCAGTTTGATTTCTTCCCCATTCTTGTTCATTTATTGTGTTGTCTTTTTAAAAAATATTGCTATATTTTTTTTATATATCCTGAGTATGATAGGACTTGCCTTTTGACTCTCTTAAGGTATCTTTTGATGAGCAGAAGTTCTTGGAGCTTTTTGTTTTGTTTTGTTTTTGTTTCTTTTTAGACTGGAGCTCACTACATTGTTCAGGCTGGCCATGAACTCACTGTGCAGCTCAGGTTGGCCTCAAGCGCACCACAGTCTTCCTACCCCAGCCTCCCGAACGCTGGGATTGAGCCCTCATTAAGCCATGCGGCCGTGCACTGAGCCATCAAGTCACGCGCCATGTCTGGCTTAATCTCCCAGTTTTTATGCAGTTGTTGCTATGCCTTTAAGTCCCAAAAGATGCTGGTATTATTTGATGAAGTCAGTATTTATTTAACCTCACCTGTACATTTTCTTCTCTTTTTTTTTTTTTTTTTTGTAATGTTCTTTTTGGCAGGCTGGTTTGGTTTGGTTTGGGTTTCGTTTCATATATAGAATACTTTGTTTAGTATTCCCTCAAGTGCATGTCTGCTGCTAATAGAAAATTCTCAGTTTCTGTCTGTTCGAAATAACTTTACTTCATTTTTAGAACTTTGTTGTTTATTCTTTCAGCACCTTGAGTTAGCTTTCTGTTGTCATGTGGTTCCATTGTTAACGTTAAGAGGTCAGCTGTTGGACCTTATTTGCTGTTCCTTGGCTTAAAATCTGCCTTTATTTGACAGCTACAGTTATGATTTTATTTTCTCTTTACCTCCTGTTTTTCCCCTAGTGTTGAAATGTGAATAGGTGTGGCGTTTTAGTTTTGTTCCTTTGCTGTATTTCTGAATTGGTGTTTATAGACATCTTGAAATGTATGGGTTTTTCCCCGTTTTTTAAATTTTCCAGTCATGATGTCTTGCTATTGGCCCTTTTGTGACCTCTACAAAAGTGTCTCTAACCTCACCCTTGTTAGATTTGACCCTTGTGCCCTGTCTTGGTTACTTTTCTCGTTGCTGAGACAGAATACCCAACACTGAAAGTTAAAGGAGGAAATGTGTATTGGGCTCACAGTTTGTAGAGGTTTCAGTTCACAGTTGGCTGGCTCCAAGCCAGGGTGGTGTAACAGAGGAGCATCACAGAGCAGGCGGGCGGGCAGCACTCACACCCAGTGTGGAGCACCTTTAACCCTACCCAGAACTGTGCCAAACCAGTCACTAGATGAGTTTAGTAATCACACATCCTTAGTTCCCATATCACACACTCTGGACCCAGCCACCTTTGACCACACGAGGCTTTGGGGGGACGTCTAGACATAAACCATAACATACCCTGACTATTTTATACTCTTTTCTGTTACTCTCATCTTTTTTCTCATCGTGCTTTATTCTAGATAGTTTCTTCTATAATATTTTCTGATTTATTCTTTTTTACCCTAACCCACTGTTAAATCCATTGCTGAGTTCCTAATTCCAGGGGTTTTTTAAGAGTTATAATTTCTTTTTTTTTTTTTTAGTTCCATATTCTTTGCCAAAGTTCTCAGTGTGGTTTTTATATTTCTTTTCTTTTCTTTTCTTTTCTTTTCTTTTCTTTTCTTTTCTTTTCTTACCAGGAATCAAACTCACAACCTCACACTTGCCAGGCAGGCACTGTGCCACTGAGCTATATTCCTGGCCTTTTTTTTTTTTAATCTTTGAATGTGTTTAACATAGTTATTGTAAAGTCTGTCTCCAGCTACTGCATAATATGGATCTTTTGCAGCCCCTTTTCTGTTGTCACCTTTTCTTTTGCATTTCATTCACGTTATCTTTTCTCCTGGTGTGCCTTGTTCTTTTTTGACTGGGTAATGAATGTTGTCTATAAAAAAAAACAGCAAAGGATCCTGAGTGATGTTCTGTTCTTCCAAAAGGGGTAAACCTTGCTCAGCGTAAGCACTAACAATCCAAAATCACTTTAATCCATTTTCATGCTTTGAGATATTAACATCGGATCTATCCCAGTCTTCACTTAAGGTACAGTACTTTGGAGTTCCAACCCAAAAATTTTTGGACTTGTCTTGCCTTAAAGAGCAGGTGATTCTGCTCAGTTTTTCAGGTCATCATTCCTCTGCCAGGTGGAAAGGTGGGCTTGCGGGCAGGCAATGGAGAGAAAGCCACGCCCACCCTCTGTATGCACCTTCAGATCATCACTAACTTGTTAGCCCCTTGATGCCTCGAATGATTATTTATGTCCGATTTCTCTAACTGTTCTCAGCAAAAAGGTGGTTATAATTGCCTCGTCTTGCTACCTCCTCTTTTTCACTGCCACTCTTCTTCATATAGAAATGTTGCTATAGTCTTCAAATATATATTTCTTGAATTTTTTTACTTTTTAAATTAGGTTTATTGGTACATTTTAGGTATACATAATGATCACCCTCATCATAAGGAATTTGTACCTGTACATGATAAAACTTGATTCATTTCTTCCCATTCCCCTACCCTCTCTTCAAGACTCACACAACTTTAGAAATGGTCTACCGCCTGCTCATAGGAATGCTTTTTCACACTTGACTTTTTATCTTTTTTTGTTTTTGTTTGTTTTTTGGGTTTTTTTATTTATTTTAAAAATAAAAGAAGGAAAACATACTAACAAACAGACATCCATTTACAAAACAGCATAAGAACAATACAAACAATACAGTTACAGACAAGCGGTAGGAAATTAACAATGGTTGTTGTATTATGTATTGCTATCTTCCAAGTGGTTTCTCATTAACTGTAATAGAAGACAGTAGTACAGCTGTGTTAGCTGTCCTATATATGCATACTTACATCATTTCCCTTTCTTTCCCTGCCCTTTTCCCACACCCCAATTGCCCTTTACTTTTCACATTTTCCTTTCGTTTCACAATGTCTATCATACCTCCTAGCTTTTACTCACTCTGTCAGGTTTTTACACTAGTGAGACAATAACGTTGCTTATGCATGCATGTCTGATTTATTTCACTTATGAATATGGTCTCTAGTTGTGACCAATCACATGTTCATAGCAACGCAATTTGTAATTGCTACATTGTGGAAGCAACCCAAATGTCCATCTACTGAGGATTGGATAAAAAAATTGTGGTACTTTTATATAATGGAATATTACTCAGCTCTAAAGAAAGATAAACTCGAGGCTTTTATAGGTAAATGGTCACAAATGTTTTTGTTTTTTGAAGTTGTATGAATCTTCCCCTTCCTATTTACAAAAGTTTTGTTTCCATTTTGTTCCTTCTTTCCCATTTTTCAAATACATGTTTCTGAGGTGCTCCACAGAACATACCTGTATGACTTTAGAATGTTTTTGAAGATAGTTTCCAACTCCTGTTGAAACCCTGAACAATTTGTTTGTCTAATATATAAGTGCTGTCTGCTCTTAAAAAAGAAACTACCATTATTCCAGACTCCCAGAACTTGGCATCAAAGCCTTGGAATTCCATGGAGACCCCTCAGGGATTCCATTGGAGAAAAATAGACTTATATTGTAAAGTCAGAGGTAAAGCCAGGCATGGTGGCACATGCCGGTACTCGTAGCACTCAGGAGATTGAGACAAAAGAATCACCACAAGTTAAGAGGCCAGTGTGAACTACGTAGCGAGACCCTTTCTCAAAAAAAAAAGATAAAAGTCAGGTGTGAAAAAGCATTGCTATGGGCAGGCAGGTAGACCATTTCAAAAGTTATGTGAATCTTTCCTTAGAGAACTATTCAACAGAACAAAAATAATGGAACTTATGAACAGGGAAATTTGTGTTAATGATTAAAATCACATTCATAATTCAAATTTTGGGTGAGGAATGGCAAATGCCAGACTGGAAGGTGTGTGCTCCTATGAGGCAGCACCTCTTAGTTTTAATAACTTTTATCATTTGAACAATAAACCCAGTTCTTTTTAAATGATATAATTCATTTAACAGTTTTTAAAGTAGTACAAGCCAAAGAAAAGGTACAGGCTGTGTTAATTAATAATTAAATTCAAGGTGACCATGACATCTCTGGCTAAAGTCTGTTTTCAGTTGCTATACCCTTGCTGTCCAAAAGAGCAAATACACCCCCAGGCGTGGTGGTGAACACCTACACCTACAGTGCCAACACTCAGGAGGCTAAGGCGGGAGGATTGCTGTGAGTGTGAGGTCAGCCTGGGCTGCTTAGGAGACTCTATCTCAAAAAAAAAAGCAAATATAGGTACCTGCTAATGAGTCTGCTGAGCATCTGGAGAGATGGGTTTGAATGGCAATACAGTTTATGGGTGTGCCTAACAAGTAATGAAAGTGATTTAAGACATACACAGTATATCATCTTTCTGTGTTCAGAGTCTTCATCTCCATATGGAACATAGTTTTTCCCCATAGGTCATTCTCTGGGATCAACAAAGAAAGTTCTTTGTAGTGTCGAAGAATAACAGTTTGAATTCTGATACTTTTAAGATATTTTAATTTTGAAAGTTAAAAAATTCCTGTTATCCTGTAGGAAATGACTCCAAAGTAGATGGTTTAGTAAACTTTGAGAAGCTACGAATGATTTCCAAGGAAATCCGTCAAGTTGTTCGAATGACTTCTGCCAACATGGACCCAGCTATGATGTTCCGACAGAGGTATGGCACAGCAGTGTGTAAAAGTGTTGCAGAATGGTGTAGTAATCATCGAAATATTTGTCATTTGTGCACTGAGCTAAGTGCTCTGCCCATGTCGGTCTCATGTATTAGTCTAGAACAGTGGTGGCAACCCTGTGGCACGTGTGCTGCAGCAGGCTGTTTGTATCTCTGAAGCTCTAAAGGTGTGCCGTCACTGGTCCGTAGCACTGCCATGACGGTAGGTGATATTAGCCTTCCTTCACAGCTGAAGAAGGGGAGGCCTGAAACAGTTTTATAGAGTGTTAGAATTTAAACCCTAGTTGGTAAGTTACTTTTTTTTTTCTTTTAGTATGTGAGTAGCTTTATATTGTCCTTTAACATATCAGCAAATGGTTAATGTTTACTGAAATTATCAGAGGACAAATGGTTTCATCTGGTTTAATTTATGAAGTATTAGTCTGCATGTGTTTTTTTTTCATCAGATTTATACTTCATTCTTCTAGAACATAATTCTTTTTCCTCAAATTATGATGCTGTTTATTTGTATGTGAACTCTACCAGAATTTAGAAAGTATAAATTTAATCATATTCCACATTTATTAAAAATAGGTAAATATTTGTACTCTACATTAATCTGACCTTCTAAGACTTCTTTTTTAAATTTTTAGTAAAGCCTTTTTCAGATATCTGTATGAAGTTTATGAAGTTGTTAAGCTACTCAGTAATTTTTATACTTTCCAGGCTGTAAGTAGACATTACAGTTTTAATTTTTGGTCTGATTTTCTTTTGCACTTTTCTGTGTAGGACATTAAAAACAAAATAATTACAGAGGCAGACATAATTCCTGTGGTTTAAGAAAAAATGTACTCTGCTCAGGAAACTAACTACTTCTTAGTACGTTAAAAACCAAAGTTGGAGTTTTTATAACCAAACAACCAGTGTGTCAGGACTTTTTTTGCTTTTTGTTGTTTTTGTTTTGTTTACATCACAGTGTTGGAGTCTTTGTGTTTATAAGCAGTCAGTCTGATGGTTGATGGTTGCTGTAGTTGAGGTACTCAAAGTAGAGGGAAGAGTGTGCCAGACGGTCTCCCCTCCCGTCTCCACCCCATTTCTGCCCCTTGAGATCACATGTGTCCAACAGTGTGGAAGCAGAACACAGTAAGACCACAGCAAACCTGGAGGAGGGTTTGTTTTTATTTTTGTCTTTGTTTTTGTTTCATGTTCTTGTACGTTAGCCTTGCCATTCTCTTGTCTTACATAGACCTCCATTTACTCACATGTGTTCCCAGTCGGGCCCCTGAAGACATAATGAATTATGAATGAATACCCAGACATCTTCCGTGCATGTATGGAGTACCAGCTGTACTTCAGGAACGAGCAGAGGTGTGGGGTGTGGTGGTATACTCCTGTAATCCCAACTACTATGGGTGCTGAAGCAGCTTGGCCAATTTAGCAAAACCCTGTATGAAAGCACGGTCTTTTTGTGTGCCTTTGTTGTACTGGGCATTCACACTGAGCTACATCCCTAGTCCTTTTTTATTTTTTATTTTGAGACAGGGTCTTGCTAAATTGCCCACACTGGGCTCAAACGTTTGATCCCCCTGTCTCAGTCTCTTAGTGCTGGGGTTACAAGCATGGGCCACCATTACCAGTTCAAAAAATTGTTAAGAGGGCTAAGAATTTAGCTCATTGGTAGAGCACATGCATGAGACCCTGGGATCATCCCCAGTTTCAGCCTCCCTCCCCTCAAAAAAAGAAGAAAGAGGGGAAATCTGATGCAGAAGTTAACAAGCTTGACTACTTTCTTAAGAATAGCCTGGATTGAGTAGAATAAGGTGTAAGGGAAAATAAATATTTATGTTTTGATTGGATTGAATTTTTCCTAAATCAGTTTTGTCAGCCAATACTGAAATGTATTCTCTTGCTTTCTTTAAGGAAATGTTTGTCCCAAGTGGAAGGTAGATAAATCTAGCAAGAGCAGAGTAACCCCTTTTATTATAACAGTCATCAACATGCTAAAAGACACCGTCTTTACTCAGGCAGTAGCTTTAAAGACATATATGAAGACTATGACAATTTATTTTTACCTACATTTTAATTTGGATTTGCTGGGAAAATTTTCTTGTAAAATATTTTATCACGGAAAATTTTGCACTTAAACATAAAATTATATCTTTATGTTCCTTGTAATTTTATCTGTCATTTAAATAAGTGACTCAAAAATCTTTCAAAAGAAGTGATCAAAAATTCAGTTCTTTTAAGGTTTCTCTCTAAAAACAATTCAGAACTTAGAATAATTTGAAGTTTTTCTTTAAGCTTCTTACTAATACCAACTTATAGATGAATTATAGTAGTAAAAACATAATTAATCTAAAGCATACTCTAAAATATGAGATACATACTGTTGGGATTTGACCTTCAGGGGGTCCCATAACTCATCTTACCCTTCTGCATTTCATTAAAGTCGTTTTACTATTAAGCTGTTTTTTCCTGGTGAAATTTTTCTGTTCTATTCTGTCTGCACAGTTTCTCTGACTATCAACTATTGTCTTTTTTCTGTGCTTCCTATTCAAACACATGCTTCAATGTTTGTGGCTCTTGCTTACAGGAAGAAGAGGTGGCGGAGTCTGGGGTAAGTGTAGAGATGAACACCACTGGAGTGAAGGTTGTGCAACTCTTAACGAATATACTGCATCCTTCTCATTACTGCACGCATATAAAACAGCATGCATTCTATTAACTCTGTCAGCCTGCCTTCCTGACAAATGCCTTTTGCTAACAAGGTGAAGTAGTGATAGAACTAGCTTTTGTTGTTTTAACTCTCCCACTACTGATGTTGGGTAAGCCCTTTTTAGATGTAAAGTTAAGCAGATTCAGTCAGGTGATGGTGCTGTTGATGGTAGTAAATACTTGTTGTACACTTGCTGTGTGCTGTACCCTATTCTGTGCACTCAGAATGAATTATCTTCCTCAGTTGTTTCATCACTCTGAACAGGTGTTGCTGCTCTCTGGTGCAGCTGGGAAGGTGGACAGTCTTCCAGCCCATTCATGGTGGGCCCAGACCTCACCCGTGGGATTCAGGTGTCCACTCCACTCTGTCCTGCTCAAATGCTGTATTTTATAAAAGTAAATTTATTATCTAACTACGTAAAAATGGATTAGAGTTGTTTATAAAGATTGCATTTACTGTTCGTTTTTCAAAAAGAGGTAGCTTGTATCCACGTGCTACTATAAACTTGAACTGGAAGATGATTTTGATTCCACAGCTCCACTCCTGCCTGAGATTTCCAGCACTGAATGAAATTTATTTTAAATTTCCACCAGCTTTACTTAAAGATGGATCTCTCTGTAAAACTGTAATAGAATCAGAAACCTGCACCTTGTTATTAAAGTAGGCTCATATCTCTTCTATATAGCTGTGTCTATTGAATCATTGAATGTTAGGAATCTTAATATACCTTGTACCTAGTCTTTGATTTTTAGTTAAAGAAAGTGATGGTTTTCGGGGCTGGAGTTTCTAAAAAAAGAATTTTGTTATTTTAAGACTAGTGAACTCTGAAGTTAGATGCTTTCATTACATGTAAGAAGTTTTTTGTGAGCCACCTCCTCGAGTCTCGTGGTCTTGCCGTCTGTTAAAGCCTGGTGAACTTCCCTTCCCTTCTACTGTGCTTTTTCTCTCCCTTCTCTGTGTTGCATTTCTTATGTATTCATACGTGTCATACATCTGTGTTGGTCTTTCGTTTCTTCTAAGTGAAAATAGAAGTTGATTCCTGGCATTATCAATGTTAAGAAAAATATTTGAATTTTTGGGGTGATTGAATAACTTCTGTAAAACACATTCAGTATTTATTCAGCTTTAGGGTTTGTGTGGTATGATTCTTGATTAGGTGTCTTCATCTTACATCTATTTTGGAAATGACTTAGAATATTATGTTAAAAAGAGAATATTATGTTATCACTTACTGTAATATTTTCAGTTATTAGAATTTTTATCCTGGATTTGTTGGCATCCTCTTTTTGTTTCTTTTTATTGTGGACATCAGCTAAGACAAAATAATCAAATATTAGAGTTAAAATTTGCTCCTAAGTGTTGAGGTTTAATTTTACTGCTTTGAATGCAAGACAGTATCAGTTGTCAGATGCACCATTACTTTATACACTACCAAAAAAAAACCACTGCAGTGTCCTGTTACCACTGAAAATTTTTCCTGTATGCTTAAGAGCTCTTACAAGTCTGTAGACTTAGGTATATATTTTTACCACATAACGTCCTTGTGCATACATACATAAAAAAGAAAATTAAGCAAAATAAATTGGTTTAGAGCTCTAATTCAGACTGTAAATCTTGTGAGTCACTTTTACAGGCATTAGATTCAGAGTTTCCTGTGGCATACACAGTGTTTCCCTCTGTGCCATTCAGCACACTGGTAATGCATCATTTTCAGATAAGCAATGGAGAACTAAAACTTGGTGCAGGGCTCTGTCTGCCTTCACAGGTAGAGATGGCCTTTAAAAAAAAAAAAGGTCTTGCTATGTAGTTCATTCAGGCTATCCTTGAACTCACTATGTAGTTACACAGTCCGGGCTCACCTTGAACTCAAATTGATCCTCCTGCCTCAGCCTGTAGAGTGCTGGGATTATAGGCTTGTGCCCAGCTAGATAGCCGCCTTTTGATAGCCTTTGGGAGTGTTACTAAAATTGTCACATTCACTATATATCAGTTTCCTGGAGATTAAAAGGATAAATCTGTAATGTCATTGGATTTTTTTTCAAACTATTCTGCAGGTTTTGAGGTTTCTGCATTGTAAGTGGTGACAAAATTAGATTCTGCCTACCAATAGCAAATGAAAGTTGCTGTCACGTATAAGATATACATGTTTCAAAGACTTTAATATGTGACAGGGAAAAAAAATGCCATAGCACTTTTTCATCTGTGTTTCCCTTAATTATACTGAAAACATTAGCATTCAGGGTCTAGTTTAAACTAGATAAGTGAGTAATTAGGAACAAATTGTTATATGGTAGTCTTGCAGTGGCAAGCAGAAACACTGAAACAACACCCAGGATTTGGAGGCAGATTTATTTTACATTGAGAGGCACTGGTCAGGATCATTCCCAAAGTATCAGGCCCTGATCTCTGGTGGTCTAGAGCTTGAATTGGATAAGCAAGCAGGCAGCACAGAGGCACAATGGCTTGTCAGCTGGGGCTCGGTTTATACCATGTGCATCACAGTGACCAGCCGTTTCTAAGAGACAGGAGCAACCAGAACTGGAAGAGGAACTGTTACCTGGGCAACTGACAAACTGAAGTATACTGGGGGGGTGCATTTTCTGCTACAGTCTATATAGACTATTTTATGTAAATCTAAGGCTAATTTAGAAAATTTGTAAATACTTGTTATTTTGAAATGGCAACTGCCTTTAAAATAAAAATTATCTCTGAAAACCTCGTGTTTGCTCACCTTGTTAGAAAAAGCATTGCGGTTACTGTTTTCCGTTAGTTTTAGTGGTAGTCATTGTATAATGAGGCTTGACAGAAAGAACGGAGTTGGGAGAAGCTGCAGTTGTTTAAACTGTGATTGTTTCTACCCAGCGTGCAGTTCTAGCACGTTCAAGGCGTTTCAAAGTAAAGTGTTCGATCCCCTCCCCTAGAACCCAAGTATTGCCTGACCATTCCATATGTAAATGGAAACTGAGTAACTTTGTACTGCATTCTGAGCTCTGTGTTGAATTGAGTATCAGTGCTGTTGCTTACGGCTAGTAGCTTACTGGTTGTTCTCTTTGAATTTTGGCCAAAATTTGATACCTGGTAGATTGGGTGAGTGTGCTCAGGGTGAGCCTCTGAACAGCAGTGATGGTGGTAGCATCTCCACAGCAGCACAGAGGAGCACAGCTGCTCTAGACATTCCTTGCTGGAGAACCGTGGTGCGCAGGTCTGACTGAGGATAGACTTATCCTGACCAGACTCACGCTGTATCTTCAGAGTGTAGGTGCCTCCAGGGCCAGAAGAATGCCTTTTCTTGTCACGGTTGTGTCGTGGGTGAGATAGGCCCAAACACATGGAAGATGCTGCTCAGGGACAAACTGTGTCTTTTTTTAAAAAAATTCTGCATTTTGCCAAATCTTGTTCTTAATTCAGAACATTGCCATGTGTGCCAAATGACTTTGCATTAATGCTCTTCCTCTTTTAACTCATTTACATCAGCATGCAATAGCATTAACAGAACAAAATCTTTTACTCGTCGTTCTCTTGCGCTTAATTCTCATTCGTGCAGCCACTTAGCTGATTTCCGTCTTCTTACAGGTCCCTGAGTCAAGGCAGCACAAATTCAAACATGTTGGATGTTCAGGGAGGTGCTCACAAGAAAAGAGCTCGTCGCAGCTCTCTGCTTAATGCCAAGAAGCTGTATGAGGATGCCCAGATGGCGAGGAAGGTGAAGCAGTACCTGTGCAGTCTGGATGTGGAGACGGATGAGGAGAAGTTCCAGATTATGTCGCTGCAGTGGGAGCCTGCCTATGGTACCTGTGAGTAAAGGTTTCCATCGTGTGACACACAGAGCACAAGAGCAGAGGAACTTGGTTCTCCAAATTACGCTGAAATCCCAGTAAACTTGTTAAACTTCCATTCACAAAGATTCCTGACATGCCCCAAGCATTATGTGATTCTGTTACTGAGATTGTGAATCCCACCCATCCCTGATATTTACTCTGCAAGAAATAGAAGGATAAATAATTCTTCTTTAAGAAGCTTTATCCAGGCACAGCAGCGCATGCCTGTAATCCCAGCACTTGGGAGGCTGAGGCAGGAAGATTGCTACAAGTTCACAGCCAACCTGAGCTAGCAGCAACTTTATAAAGACATCTTGTATCAACTGGAACATTATTGAGAACATTTTTGCATTCGTCCTAAATAATAAATGACATTTTTACCTTTTTAATTTAATGGATAATATCATTTGCCAACTAGAAAATATAAGAAATTTAATTATAGTTGGTCATAGATATCAGTAAATTGAAACAAGAAGACATTCTTACATTGTTAATAGCTAAAAAGCACAGTGAAAAAGAGAGTGCATCCTCAGCGCTAGCAGCCCAGCTCCTTGCTGCCCTGCTCTCCACGCGCTCTACTCAAAGCTGCACTCTCGGTCCGTTACTGAAGCACAAGCAGCGGAACACGTGTGTCCCTGGGCCAAGGAAAGCACTACTGTAAGAGCAGAAATCAAAGATGGTGAAATATACTGGGTTGTAAAGAGCCCCTCAAAAGATTCTTACATTACATTATAGGTTAAATGTTTTCCCCTAAAAATTACAATAGGATTCTAAGTTTATATGTGACAAGAAAAATGATAGTTTACATGTTTGTTTGATTTGGTCTTTTTGAGACAGGGTCTCACTGTGCAGTCCAGGCTGGCTTTGAACTCACTTTGTAGCCCAGACTGGCCTTGATCCTCCTGCCTCAGCCTCCCAAGTGCTGGGGTTACAGGCATGCACCACCATGTAGTTATCATGGATTGACCCTAAGATTGATAGATGGGGTAGTATTTGCATAGCAGTAGGAAAAGCATGTCAACAGAGCAGAAAAGAGAATATGGAAATAGAAACAAGTACTTTTTAAAATTAAGATACAACAATGAACTTTAAAATACAAGGTAAGGAGCCACTAGGTAAATGCATTATCTCTATTGCAATTCTCTCTATATCAAATCTATTACATTTGGAGAATGACGTAAAATAATAAAGCTAACAATAAGTACTTTATAAACATTGTCACTGGCTAGGTACTGTGATAGATGCCTATAGTCCCACTTCCTCTGGAGGCTGGGCAGGAGAATCACTGAAGACCAGCCTGGGCAATACAATAATCGCTGTCTCCCCTGCCCCCCCGAAATTGTTATTGACTCAGCTCTCTGAGGTACCTGACATTAGTACTACAGTGAGATAATGCACCTGAAAACCTACTTATACAAACATGTTGCACTATTACAGTGCAAAAGAAATCATTCAGATACTAAGTACATAAGAAAGGAATGCTATATGACTTTTAAAATAACATTTATTAAATATAATTTCATTATTAAAATATGTGTGTATAGTCTTGAAGAGTATCTGGGAAAAATCACATTGGATAGCAGTAATATCAGCCATGTGAAAGTGTATGTGTCAAAAGTGGACCACATAGAACTTCTATATTTTACTCATGTTTTAAAGTTGATTTCTAGTGTTTAATAGATTTTTTAAAGTTTAAATGACAGCTGCCCCATGCCCAAATATGGTTCATTTCTGAGCATCATAGGATTGAGTTCTTGGTAACTAACACATGGTTTGGGGCATTCTTCTGCAAACTGTTTCATATTTTAAGTGATTTCTCCAGTTTGTTTTTGCACTGTAGCAATTATTAAAACATCAATAAAATCAAGAATTGATTAGTATTGAGAAGAAACTAGTGTCATAACTAATCAAAAGATGATTCTTGGATTCAATTAGTTAATGAATCAATGCATATTGTCCCTTGGAACTAATTGTGGTTTAGCTTTCTGAGATGTTCGCTGATTCGTATTACCCAAAACATTCTCTAGGCTCTCATAATAAAAGCATAATTGCTGTGCTGGCACAAGTTAAACACCTGTTTTATGCTGGTGTGTAAAACCACAGTGAAGTTCTGAAGTTGCACGTACACGTGACCATCCCAAGTGACTGACAAACTGAAAGTCCTTCTGCTTAAGGAAGAATTTATTTCCTTTAGACTTAAATCAGGGTTCTCTAGTTAACACAGGCTGTGGAGTTTTAGGGAAGTGTTCCCTAAGTTTGTGAGCAAGTTTATCTGAAAGATGCAGCGAGTGTTGCATAGTTAAAGGGACCTTTACAGTCTAGGAAATTAAACAAAGACAGGACCAGGGATACAGCTCAGTGGCACAGCGCCTGCCTCACAAGTGTGAGGTCATGGCTTCAATTCTTGGTACCAAAAAAAAAAAAAAAAAAAAACATTGTCCGATAAATGAAAAAAAAAAAAAAAAAAAACTAGAGGAAATTAAACAAAGACTGATTTAATAGAAATAAAGAATGTGGAATTAAGGAGAGGCAGGGGCACCAATTTCAAAAGGTCAGGCCAGTGCTCAGTTATGCGGGGCCTGTAAGCCTTGCTTGGGCTGGGGATGTAGCTCAATGGTAGAGTGCTTACCTTGCTTGCACAAGGTCCTGGGTTCAATCCCTAGTACCACTAAAAAAGCCTTGTTTTAGAGTTACTCTGCTGTTGTATGGAGAGCGGCTTAAAGGCCTGCTAGCACTGATACGGTGAGAGAAGCCCTGCAGTAGTACAGATGAGAGAATGTTGACTTTCAGCAGTGGCAGCAGAAATGGAGCTAATTGATCAATGGATTTAAGAATTCTTTAGGAAATAAAAGTAACAGTATCTAAAGCAGTTTCAGAGATAACGTTTTATAATACTTAAATGAAACTCATTTTAAGAAAATTAATCTTTTATTTTTTCTGTGCTAAAAATGAGTAGTTTTTAAAGTCATCTGTTATTCTGAATGCTGACAGCCTTGCCTTTAAAACAGTTTAGAGTTAACTGTTCTCTCTCCTATTAGTGACCAAGAATTTAAATGAGAAAAAATCAGCCAAATCATCTGAAATGTCTCCGGTACCTACAAGGTCAGCGAACCAGACAACGAAAGCCCACTTGCATCAGCCCCACAGAGTGAGCCAGGTGCTTCAGGTGCCAGCTGTTAATCTGCACCCCCTGAGGAAGAAGGGCCAGGCGAGAGACCCCGCCCTGAGTGAGTGTTCAGCTGGAGTTAAGTCCATAGCGATTGGAATGACAATTGCAAACCTTGAGGGCATGGTTACTCCACAAATGAAAAAACACTTCATTTTGCCTATAGATGGTCTTTAAATGCTGATTTTGGAATTTTTGTTATTGTGACATCTGTTTGTCAACGTAAAACTTAATACATCTTGGGGATTTACAGTAAATCTTGGGCAATACATTAAGGGTTTGCTGTGTTCAAAAGTGTATTTGATCAAATAACTAATGCAGATACAACCTATAAAAACTGTGAGAACCAAGTTGCTTATTGTGATAATGACTGTACTTTTTTTATTAATGAGCCTTTCTGCAAACTTTGTTAGGAGGCAAAAGAATGTATGAAGTAGATAGGCTTATTGTTTTTTTCCTTTAGGCCACATAGGTTTATGAATTACCTTTATTGTTTTTTCACAGTATCACTCACTGCTTTAATTTTTAGATAGAAAGCAAGGTTAGATTTGGTTCCTAGCATTACTGCTTAAACATTATATTATCAGTGTAAGTATAAATTCGGTTTGAGAGACAAAGTTGAGTAAGAAGTGCCCTCTCTGCCACATTTCAGTCTAGTGATAAAGACACACACAGGTAACTACGGAATAATGTGCTTGCTTTTGTGGCAGAACTATACGCACAACTTGTAAAAAAAACAAACCGGGATGGATGTTTTTCCCAGAGGCAGAAGAAGAGGACCTTGAGGAGAAGGCTCTGGGAGAGAGCACACAAAGCCTTCAGTGTCGAGGACAAAGCAGTAACTGGGCAGAGGTTCTAGTGAAGTTGCTCCAAGCAGAAGAAAATGTTGATGTCTGCAAGGAGCTCCAAGCACTTTGCTGCTAGGCTGCAAACTGCATGCAGAGTGTTGATGACCATAATAGCGGAAGCTAATATTTAGCACGTAATGACTTCTAGGCACATTTCATAGTGCCTTGCTAACTTTATGCATTCATTTAGTGTTCATAATAATTCAAAGATAGTTAGTGTTCTACCTTCATTCTGCACAGAACATCAGTAACTTACATGCTACCATAAGGGATCAGACTAGGAGCAGAGCCCAGGCCGACAGACTCAACAGTTCTTGCTTTTAACCTCCATACTTGCAGGATGATGGGAAGTCAAAATTACAGTGTGCTGTGCTAATGCCCAGTAGTCAGTGAGAAGTCATTAAAGAGATTTGACCAGAAGAACATTATGCTCCAAGTTGTTTGATAAGAAGTGCGGTAGGGTGAGTGCAGCAAGGACGAAGGTAGAAGATCTTGGCTGGAAGGATGCTGTAACAGTTGGTCAGAGGTTATTTAAGGCTTGGACTGACTAGTTTGCTGTCCATGACAATGAAGAGTGAATTAGATTAAAAATTGGCAAAGTTGATAAATTTCTTAGTAGAGGTGAGATAGGAACAAATTTAGCCCTGGTTTGTTATTTAGACATCACCTGAGAGGCAGTGTGATGTGTAGGTAGCTTTTCTTCCCTGGTGTAATACGGCTGCCTAGAGATAAATGCACAGCATTTATATTGAAACTGTATTCGGCTAGTGTGGGTATACTGGGATTACAGCGTTTTCAGTATCGAAAGGCTGCTTGTTACTATACCAGCTCCACATTGGCTGTGCTTGCTTTACAAGGAACAGTGTCAGTGGCTTTTTCACGTGTCTTAGAAAGGGTGCCTGTAAAAAGTCAGTACTGTGAAACGACTGCTGCATTGCACAGGGCCAGCTGCTGAGCAGGAGTGGCGGTGGGACTTCCCAAGAGGGTTGCCAGTGGGCTCCGTGCCGCTTCCCCGTAAATTCATGGTTCTCTTCCTGTTGTTTACCTCTCTCCCGTAGCGGGAATTTAGTGCTCTTAAGAGGGCTGGATTGGCGGCCCTGCAGCCTCTCCTGTATGCCCACAACACAGATGCACCACAGGTAGTGAGCGTGCCAGCATTCCCACACTGCCCGCCACATGCCCCGCTCTGCCACGGAGAGGCCACCTCTAGAGGGAGGGAAGAGCGTGACTGTCCTCTAAGACTGTGAGCCAGTGTGTCAGTTGTTGGGGGGGAGGCGCTCTCCTTCAACTGTTAAATTGATTTCCCTTCTGCCATAAAATAGCGTATTATACCTGGCCCATGCTGACCGGCTGAATTTGAGCTAATGACCTAGAGGTGAGAATCTCTGTCCCCCACTCCCCAGCCATGCAGTCCCCGTTTGCCATTTACACATTTCCGTTGACTACGCTAGCCATTGTGCATCGTGGCTTTAGTTACGTAGTGATTTAGGCAGCTACCAGTATTCTCATTGTGCAGCGAGGTTTATGTGCGTCTTTGGTTTTATTTTCAGATACAAGTTTGCCTCAGAAAGTTTTAGGACCAACAGAGGAAATAAGTGGTAAGAAACATACAGAAGACACGATTTCTGTGGCGTCGTCTGTACATTCTAGTCCTCCAGCGTCTCCTCAGGGTTCCCCTCGCAAAGGTGAGACAAACCATTTCAGGTTGCTCAGCCACACGTTTTGTTTTTCAGTCTGTTAGCAAGTAATAGAAATTGTTGCAGAAAAGCGTAACTGCTAAGGCTTACTTTTTGAGCTTCCATGTTTCATATGGAATTATTTAAGTGCTTTTCAGGTGTTCTGTATCATGTAAATAGGACTCCAGTATTCAAAGCATGGTTCTCTTTTGACAGAGGGAAAACACAGATAAAAATGAAGGCAGAAGGCACAGCTGTTTTGGCCTGTGCTGGCTTTGATGTCATCTTTCATATTATCTATACATGAACCTTTCTGTGGAGGATTTGCAAATAAAAATTTCTGTAAGAAATTGTTTTAAATTAACTACTAGGTATAGGAAAACACACGGGTTGGTGTTTTCCTTTTTTAACAGTAGGCTATTTTTATTTATAAAGATTTAAATAATATACACCTTTACAGATTGTGGACAATAGTTGTACTGTACATTGGTAGTTATACTGAACTTTGCGAGGTAAGAGCAGTCCAGAACTGTTCTTGTTCTTTTACATGTGTTTTCATGATCAAGACTGAAGCCTTTCTTGGCTAGCCTGGCGAGTGCCTGGAGAGCCTGTTTTGTGTGTATGCACTTGTAGCATTTGAAATAGTGCGTATTTCTTACATGGGCACTTCACACTCTGTGTGTGTCCTCCTCTTGTCCGTCTGGTTCTGACTGAGTGCCTCCTCAGGATCTTGATGAGTGGGACTGGCAGCCATACTGCAGCCAGACCAAGGGACGCCGTAGACCATGCCGCGTGCTCACAATGCTCCCGCAGAAGCACGTGACACACTTCACCCCTTGTGGAGAGACTCCCTGGGTCCATCCCATTACAGACACTTCCGTAAGCAGGAAGCTATAGTGCTGGATATGATTTGGTGTCTTCTGCCTGACTGTGACTAGGGACAAAGGTGTCAGAGACAGAAATACTGTTACCGCTGTTCTTACTCCCAGCAGAAAACCCGCTCTCCCTCCAGGACCAGAGATGTCTTTTCTCCGTTGTCTTTCATTGTGTAGCCGACATTTAACTGTAATGTTTATAAATTTGTGAGCTTGTCATAGGCTTGTTTAGAATCCTTAGAGACCAGAAGAAATTCTTTTCTCCAACACTGCTTCAGGTTGTCGCATATGTTCTGTCAAAACCCTAACTGAAAGTAGTACCTCTCTTCTGGAGATGAGGTTTTGCTGATGGCCTATGGTTGAACAAAAGTGTCATTACACTAAATGTATTGCATCAGGATCTGTTCTGAGTTTCTGCTAAGCTTTGGAAGTAGTTGTTTTTATACAATTAAGAAACTAGTGCTGTTTCATGTTTTTTCACAAGGAGAATATAGACAAGACCTTTAAAAAAGAAGTTAAGATTGCTTACAAAAGGCCAACTCAGCTCTCCATCCTAAAAGTAGGTGCTTTAAAATACACCTACTACATGCAGTGTTTGCATATCCTCTTCATCTTGTTCTCTGTGGTGGTTGGAATTGAACCCAGGCTCTCATGCCTTCTCGGCCACCATTCCGTCACTGAGCTACACTCATTCTAGCTGGTCTTCACTAAACTTTTTATAGTGAAATCTGCCTGAAAATTCTAGACATACATAATTTCTCAAAAAATAGTTTTGGTTACCTGATGCTTTTATATTTTCCCTTATAATTTTATCAGCTTGCTTTGAACAGAACTCTTATTACCATTCTGCCATGCAGTAACTGTTGTATTTCTGTTGTGTAGATTTTTCATGCATTAAAAAAAATCTAGATTTTAACATTTTAGATATTGTCAAGAAAATAAGTTTTAAATAGTGAAATGTTGTATATATAAGCCAGTTAATTGTGATTAATTGGAAAGAATGAATTTTGCATCTCTCCCTCCAGTTGGCAGTGTCCTATCCGATCACAGCGTCCTGCCGCACCTCTCAGGGTCCTCCTCACCCCCTCCCTGTGAGTCCAGCGCCAAGATCAGTGGCCAGAGCTGCCCGGGAATAGGTGGGGTTTACTTGCAAAAGAAAATCCTTCAGATTACCAAGAGCACAGCCAAAAGGACAGACAGGACCAAGAAGGCCACTGAGGAGGATAGAGACAGGACAAGTTGTGAGAACACAACCAGAAAAAGAATGACATCCCCGTTTAGAAGATTTAGGGAAAGAACTCTTTCAAGGGAGAGACTAGTCACCAGCCAAAAAGAGGACCCAGATCACCGTCACGCTCCAGACAGCTGTGAGACAGTGAAGGATGCTGGGCGCAGCAGCGCAGATGAGGAAGGGAGTGACACCTGCCACTCCAGTAGCCGGGGCCACAGTAACGCTCTGAACTGCTTCTATGCGCGATTCAAGTCTAGAAGGAGAAAGACGATCTGACCAAGCTCCTTACTTCATTCTAGTGTTGTTTGTTTTCAGTTGTTAATGTACATATAGTTAAATTAAACCATTTGTCAAGCAAAGGTTGGGCAGATAACTTAGTAAAATATTTTTAATAAGCATTTTATGATTAGTATTACAGATTCTCTGGCAACAAGTACTGACTTAAAGTGCCTGATTTGTACCTGTTATTTTGCTGATGTATTGTGCTGACTTCAGCAGCACATAGACTAACATGATGTATTGGGCTAGTAAACTTTATGCTCTTGTTTTCTGTAGTTGGCTTTATTTCCTACTGATAGCAGCTGAGTGTGTGAGTGAAGTAAGTAGAGGAAGCTATTTAGGAGCCAAGCATAAAACCCCCAGTAATCTGATGCTCACCTTTGCCTCAGAGAACTTTACTGCCACCTTAAAGTACTTCTACTTTAGAAGCTAATGGACAAAGGAATGTTTTGGGGACAGAAAATTGCATCTTTTCCACATACACTTTTTATATCACCCACTATGCACATACCTCTGATTGGGGCGTCATGAGCTAGTCTAGCATAGCAGGTTCAAAATCATCTGGAAAACTTAATTTAAAATGCAGCCGGGCATGGTGGTGCACACCTGTAATCCCAGCACTCAGGAGGCTGAGGCAGGAGGATTGTTGCAAGTTTAAAACCAACCTGGGCTACAAAGTGAGCTCAAGGCCAGCCTGAACTGTATAGCAAGACCCTGTCTCAAAAAAAAAAAGAGAAAGAATTTTGCCATGTGTGGTGGTGCGTGCCTGTAATCCTAGCACTCAGGAGGCTGAGTCAGGAGGATCACTGCAAATGTGAGGCCAGCCTGGGCTACCTAGTGCATTCAAGACCAGCATGGACTGTCAGTCAGTCAATAAATAAATGCATGCATACATACACAAGCAAGCAATTATTAGCCGGGCATAGTGACACTTGCCTGTAATCCCACCACTGCGGGAGGCTGAGGCAGGAAGATCACAAATTTGACTCTAGCCTGGACTAGTGACTTAGCAAGACCCTATCTCAAAGGTGGATGGGGGATAAATCAGTGCAGAGGCCCTAGCTGCACTCTCCAGTGCCACCAAAAAATAAAGCGCAGTTACTGTTTCTCACCTCAGACCTCATAAATTTGAATGTCAGAAGTGACCCCTGGAATGTGTATTTTAATAAGGGTTCCAGGTTGTTCTTAGATTTCATGACAGTTGAGAAATTTTGTTCTTAAAAATATGAGAATAGAATTATTTTTGAAACAGTGAAGCATGTCTGTTCCATAGGATAGAAAAGGAGTGACTTTTCATTTGCGGAAGCTTTGCTGTTGCTTTGTATTTACTATTTGCATTTTCTTGGTCCCCTTGAAAAGTAATTAATCAAGGTATAGTCATGGCAAACAACAGTGGACCCCACCTTCAGAGGTGTGTGGTAGAAGTCAGGAGACTGTCTTCTCTTGGCTTACCTGCTTTTAGGCTCCATAAGCTAAGTAAAAATCGCACATTTTCTGGGTCTTGATTTTTTTCATTGAAATAGTTAATGAAACTACTTAATAAGAGTATTATGCAAAAAATTTTCTTTAATGACTGAGTAATATGTATATAAACTCTAAGATCCTTAAAGCAGGGAAAGGACCTTGGAGCTTAGGGTGTTCTCTTCTTCCTTATGCATAAAGAAGTGGAGACCCTGAGAAGTCTTGGAACGTATTCAGAGCCTCTAGTTCTTTTTAATGAGATGCCATGAGAGTGATCTAAAAATCATGTATTTTCTTTCTTTTTTGGTTTTTCTCCAGTACCGGGAACCAAACTCACGACCTTGCGCTTGCCAGGCAGGCGCTTTGCCCCTGAGCTAAATCCCCGGCCCCCTAAAGATCATGTATTTTCAAACCTCACTGTATTCTTTCTGTGAACACGAAGAGACTTCACTTTGTAAGAGACCTCCCCTTCCTGGGATTCCTAAGTCATTATCTTTTATTTCTAAACAAAAGTCTGATTTCTTTTCTTTCAGTTACCAAAATAGACTATTATGTACATTTAACCGCCACGCTGAGGTTTGTTGGGGACCCTTCCACCTCATTCCACCCCCACTCCTTTATCCCAAAGAGTACCGAAGAGAAAGTCTCTAGCTCTCTGCTGTGCAGTAAGTCATAGAAGAAGTTAAAACATGTAGATGCTGTTTTTGTCATTAAATGTTGAAGTCATCAATTCAGTGTTTAATGTTCTGCAAGATGGTGAAGTACAAAGAAGTAGGTATAAAATTAAGTACAGATTTAAAATAATCTATTTAAAAATATTAAGACAGGGCTGAGGGTATGGCTCTGTGGTGGAGCATTTGCTTAGCATATGTGATGCCCTGAGTGCTGTCTTTAGCTTTGCAAAAAATTAAAATAAAAATGCTGAAACAGTGGCTCTTAGTTTAGACCAAAACTTCTTAGGTGGCATAAGCAGGACGTCTGGGGTAAGTATATATAGTCTGAAAATTAGAAAATGCAACCCTTTGAGGCCTGCTTTCTGTCTCCACCCCTAAACACAGCAGCACCTGGATTCAGTTCAGGCTTTAAAATACGTTAATCAGAGGGAGGGAGCATATGGTTATAAAATTGCAAAACTGCGTACACGTCTTAATATTTGCAATATCTTTCATAACTTTTTATTTTATTAAATACATGTAGCTCTGTGAGAAGCTGGGCAAGACACAGTTGCTTTGGCCTGATCTTCTCAGTAGTACTGGATACTGACGTTTTCTTAACTTGGGCATTGTGTTGGTGTGGTGTGGCTGGGTAGGTGAATGCATAGTGGGGAAATGTGTGGGTGGCACTGGCACCCTTCCGTCCACAGAGATGGAAACTGAGCTTGCTACTACTTTGTCTTTCGTTCTTCATATTTTCTCTTTCTCCTCTCCCTGACCACCCACCCCTGCTCCTGTGTCTTGCAGTTTGATCCGTGTGCTTTTCTTGCTCAGGTTACACACTTACACCATCAGCTAGATCTGACAACTTGTCCGACTCCAGCCATAGCGAGATTTCCTCTCGGTCCAGCATCGTGAGCAACTGCTCTGCTGACTCCATGTCTGCAGCTCTGCAGGATGAGCGCTGTTCCTCCCAGACCGTGGGAGTCCCTGAGTCCACTGGGACATTCGAAAAGGTGGAGCACCCCTCGGGGATAGGAGACCACGGTCATCTTGGACCTGGGTAAGCATCCTTGTGTTTTCCACAAAACCCAAACCGAAGGCCATCACTAGCCGTGCTCCCCAACTTTGACCTTGTATTCTCTGCCTTGGGGTACTAGCAAGGCCACGCACATGCTCTCTGTACCAGATATGGAAGTGAGTACTATTTGAAAGATGTGGATTAGCATCCCCACCCCAACCACCGTAGTGGGGATTAAACTCAGGGCCTTGCTGGGTGTGGTGTGCTTGCCTGTAATCCCAGTACCTGAGAGGCTGAGGCAGGAGGATCGCCATGAGCTCAAGGCCAGGCCAGCCTGGGCTACATAGTGAGTTCAAGGTCAGCCTGAACTACAGAGTGAGACCCTGTCTCAGAAAGATAAAAAAAACTAATAATTTTAAACCAAAAATTTTTCAAAATAAAATCAAGGCCTTCACACTGAATTACATCCCCAGCTCTTTCCTTTTTAGTTTGAGACAGGGTCTCAGTAAGGCCATAAATTGCCCAGCCTTGGTTTAAACTTATAATCCTCCTGCCTCAGCCTCCTGAGTGCTGGAACTGTAGGCGTGCACCACCATGCATGGCGCTTACCTTAAATAGTTGCTGAATTCAAGTAGCTTTCTATCATTTATATATATATATATATATATATTTTTTTTTGTTTTGTTTTGTTTTGTTTTGTTTTGTTTTGTTTTGTTTTGTTTTTCTCCGGTACCGGGAACCGAACTCATGACCTTGCACTTGCCAGGCAGGCACTTTGCCGCTGAGCTAAATCCCCAGCCCCTATCATTATATATGTTTTCAGTTAGTAAGAACGTAAAATGTGCTCACTGTTGATAGGAGGAAGATGATTCTTAAAATCCTGGCTGTTAGGTTAGAGGATGCCCAAAAGTTGCATAATGGAAAATGCCCTCCCCCAGTACTGTGCATGTTGTAGACAGGTTGGGAGAGTAGGACTGGCCCTAGCTCCTTATCCTCTCATAGTACTATTTGGAGAACAAAAGTAATCAGCTGGCAAAGGTTAACTTTTTAAAAATTTCTAATTCTAAGTTTCTGTTGAGAATCAAGCAAAATGGAGATCTGTGAGAAAGTTGATTCTAAACTGATAAATACTGGTAAATCTGGTCTGCTTTAATATGCAGTACCTATGATACACTAAAGTATTATTATATTTGTAAAGGTTTCTCAACAGTGATTCCATAAACCAGAGGCCATCAGTTTTCTATAAAAGGTAGTAAGTAGTTTAGATTTCACAAGACACATCTGTTACAGCTGCTGTGCCTTTGTGGCCCCAAAAGAGCCACCAACAATACAGAAGCAAACGGGTACCTGTGTCCCAGGACAACTTTATTTATAGAAATGAGCAGAAGCCCAGAAAGAGGTGGCCTTGGACTATAGTCTGGTGACCTCTGTGCGTTGCTACAAACCATTGTCCATGAACTTTTTTTTTTTTTTTTTTTGGTCTTTTGAGACAGGGTCTCGCTATGCAGTTCAGGCTGGCCTTGAGCTCACTTTGTAGCCCAGGTTGGTTTTGAACTTGCAGGGATCCTCCTGCCTCAGCCTCCCCAGTGCTGGGATTACAGGCATGTGCCACCACGCCCAACTTTCCACAAACCTTTTATGAAGGATTAGGGGATTAGGTAATAAATGTTTTGGACTGACAGGCTATATATGGTCTTTATCACAAGTTCTTTGTGCCATTTTTTGGTTCCCTTTTGTTGAAATGCTTTAAAAGATAAAAACCAGTTTTTGATCCAGGCCATACAAAAACAAAGCCCTTGGCTATATTAGGCCTCTGTGCCTTAGTTTGGAGATCTCTGGTATAAATGATGGGACCCGCCTAGTGGTAGCTGGGGAAGTTGATATTCAGTTCTACCATGCTACAAGGCTAACCGCAGGTATACACTGAAAATAAAACATGGTTCATCAAGTTGAGTTCTTAATTCTGTACTGTAGAAAATAATATATTAACAAGAATGAAAATTTGTACTTTATTTCAAATTTCATCTTTGTTCATTTAAAATCAGTTTAAAACTTTCTGAGAAAATCTTGCCTAAGCATTCACCTTCGTTCGTGTATGTTTCTGTTGCTATGCTCTATAGTTTTTTGTAGGTGGTAGTACTTGAAGTGCAAAGAACGAAGATTTTCCAGTAAGCAGTAAATTACCTTTAATTGTGTGCTGTCACCATTTTTAGGTGGACACTTTCGAAGCCATCTCTAATCAAGGGTTTAGCTGTCTCGTCTTCTATGAGCAATGAAGAGATTTCTCATGAGCATATTGTTATAGAAGCAGCTGACAGTGGTCGAGGAAGTTGGACTTCCTGCTCAAGCAGCTCCCATGACAACTTCCAAAGCCTTCCAAACCCAAAAAGCTGGGACTTTCTGAACTCTTACAGACATACACATTTGGATGACTCCATTGCTGAAGTTGAATCCACTGACTGTGAGCCCTATTCCTGTCCGAAAGGTTGCTCTAGAACTTGTGGGCAGTGTAAAGGAAACCTAGAGACCGGTCATTTGAGACAGAGTTGGGCCTCCTCCAGTTCTCTGTCTGACACTTACGAACCAAACTACGGGACAGTTAAAAGGAGGGTTTTGGAGGCTACCCCCGCAGAGTCATCAGATGGCTTGGACCCACTTTATAAAACAGTCACTTCAAGTACAGAAAAGGGCTTGATTGGTAAGTTCTGTGTATTATACTCTGTTTTTTTTGGCACTTAAAAATTGTAGCAAAAAAAAAAAAAAATGATGTTGAGATATCTTGGCCTAGGATTTTATTCATGGAAAAATTTGTTCATGGGACTGGGGAGAGAGCTCAGCAGCACAGCACCTGCCTGGCAAGTGCAAGGTCCTGAATTCAATTCCTAGTACCAAAAAAATATTATTTTGTTCACTTGTTCTACCTTTTCTTTCTTCTAAAAAACATTATTTCCCCCATATTCAAGACTGAGGGGCTTTAGGGCAGACACTCAGGCTGTTGAAAGTGAAAAGTTTGGTGTTAAGGTATAGAATCAAAGGCACAAGTGTGTCATGTTTTTAAGACATGTTTTTGTTTCATTGAGGAGTATCTTCACATTTCTGTGCACTCGTAATAAACTGTTCTGTACCTCACAAATGTTTTGGTCCACAGTTACTATCCATACATGATAAAAACATCAAATCTTCTATTACTTTCAGGAGGTAAAAGTGAGAAAAGTGTAATAAAGAAATTCAGAAAGAGCTTAGTGGTAGAGTGTGTGCCTAGCATGCGCTAGTCCCTGGGTTCTTTCCCCAGCATCACAGAAGGGAAGGAAACGCAAACACTTTTCATTACACCTTCCCTGGTGTGTATCATGAGTGTGTCAGCTAATTTATAGATTCCATTCTGAGCTACTTAGTGTATGTTCACTATCAGGCAGTACTTAAAAATGCCATCCCCTGCATTATATAAATACCTGGATATACAGCACTAGCCCCTACTTTTCTGACTAGATGTTGAGTCAGTATTATCATGGTCAACCTTTTTTTGGGGGGGGGGCGTGCCAGAAATCAAATTCAGGACCTTGCGCTTGCCAGGCAGGCACTTGGGCTGCTGAGCTATATTCCCAGCCCTCAACTCTTAATTCTGTATTCATGCTATCACATTTAATTACTAAAAATGTAAAAGGGACATGTACTGATTTTATTTGTCAAAATGGATTGTAGAGGGGTTTTTAGCTTATTCAGTTTTTTTCTAAGATATTTTTAGTAAATCTGTTTAGTTAACTACTGTAGGAACATATAAGCCTGTGTACAAGGCACAGAAATCTTTCTCTGGCCCAGTTGGGACTGTAGATTTAAAAATCCTTCATTGGGGCTAGGGATTTAGCTCAGCGGCACAGCGCCTGCCTGGCAAGCGCAATATCGTGAGTTCAATTCCTGGTACCGGAAAAAAAAATAAAAATCCTTCATTTCTTGGGCAAATGACTTTTTTTTTTTCCTGGTACCAAGCTGTACCCCAGCCCTTTTTCTTTGGTCTCATCCTCATCCTCATCCTCATTCTCATTCTCATTTTGTTTTTGAAGTGGGATCTATGGAGTTTAGGCCAGCCTCAAACTCATGATCACCCTGCCTCATCCACCTGAGTGCTGGGATTACACAAGCCACTAGCACCCCTGGCTTTCTTTTGTTGTTGTCTTGGGTTTTTTGGGAGGGGAGGGGGTTGTTTTGGTTTGCTTTGGTTTTTTGAGACAGGGTTTCACTAAATTGCCCATCCTGGGTTCAAATTTGTAAGCCTTCTGCCTTAGCCTCCCAGAGTGCTGGGTGAGAGACGTGCATCAGCGTATCCTGCTTACATTCTTCTCTTCTGACATTTCTTCCACCACCATCCTGTTTCACCTGCCTGTCCTCAGATGGAAATGGAATTCTCCTCTGACCTTGATACTACGTGCAAGTCTAACTGGGAGAACTGCAGAAATTTAAATATAGGTAGCCCAATTCTCTAAGGAAAGAGTTAGAAAAATTTAATGGCCTGAGTAAAATTATACTGCTTGTGGATATGCAGCTTTTTTATTTGAAAAGTCATTCTTTTTTGTTCATTTGTTTGTTTTGTTTTTGAGACAGGGTCTCACTGTGTAGTTCAGCCTGGCCTTGAACTCACTGTGTAGCCCAGGCTGGCCTTGAACCCAGTAGGTCCTGTGGATTGGTTTTGCATGGAACTTAGCTCTTGTACCTATTTCTTTTCTTTTTTTTGGTTTTTTTTTTCCGGTACCAGGAATCGAACTTATGACCTTGCACTTGCCAGGCAGGCGCTGTGCTGCTGAGCTAAATCCCCAGCCCCTCTTGTACCTATTTCTAATAGTTCTTGAAGTCGCAGAGTATATACAAACTTAGGAAAAAGGATTTGGAAATCAGAGAAATTTAATTTCAAGGTGAATTTCCTAAAATTATGTTTTCTCCTTCTCTTGTTAACCACAAGTAGAAGTGAGGCTGGCCACAGTGACACACCTGTAATTCCAACCACGTGGGAAAATGAGGCATGAGAAGCCGAAGTTCCAGATCAGCCTGTGCAGCTTAGCAACACTCTGTCAAAATTTAAAAAAAAAAAAAATTTATTTACTGCTAGGCATGGTGGCACACACCTGTAATCCCAGCACTCAGGAGGCTGAAGCAGGAGGACTCACTTTTAGTGAGTTTGAGTCCCACCTGGGCCACAAAAGCAAGTTCGAGTGCAGCCAGAACTACATAGTGAGACCCTGTGTCCAAAAAAACCCTAAAAACGTATGTGTGTGTGTGTATATGTATATATTTAAGTTTGCAGATTGAACCATAACCGAATTTTATTCTTTTTTTAAAGAAGTAAATGCCAATTTTTAATAATCATTTTAATTTTTATTAGTACATGTTTGTGGTACAGAATGATCACATTCATAGTAGGGAATTGGTACTTGTACGTAACACATCTTAGTTCTTTCTTCTGTCCATCCCCGCTCCCTTTCCGCTCCCTCCATCTCTTGGTCCCTTTCCCATTTGCAGAAATCTGTCTCCCTATTTCTTATTATCTGTCCTTTATTTAGCTCTTTAAATTATTTATGCTTTATGTTTCTTATATGGAAAAACTATTCAGTATTTAGCTTGTATGTCTGACTTCACTTAACATTATGGTTAAGATATGTCTTTTCCTACAGATGACTCGGATTTGTCCTTCTTTATGGCAGAGAAGTGCTCTTATATGGATACATTTTCTTTTTTTTTTTTTTTTTTTTGAGACGGGGTCTTAAATGTAGTTCAGACTGGCCTTGAGTTCACTTTGTAGCCCAAGCTGGCCTCGAACTCGCAATGATCCACCTGCCTCAGCCTCCCAAATACTGGGATTACAGGCTTGCGCCACCACACCCGGCTACATTTTCTTTATCCATTCATCTGTTGATGAACATTCAGGCTGCTTCCAAGTTTTAGCGGTTAGGCGTTGTGCTGCTATAAACAGCTGTGCATGTATTGCTGTCATACGATGTCTTTAACTCTTTCAAGGAGATGCCTAGAAGGGAAGTGGCTGGGTCCGATGCGTTTCTAGTTTAATTACTGCTGACTCCACAGTGTTGTACTAGTTTACATTCACAGCAGCAGTGGAGAAGGGCTCTCTGACTCGGCAGCCTCACCAGCATTTATTAGTTGATTTAGTGACCACAATTCTTTCCAGAGTAAGACAGAATCTGATGTTTTAATTTTCATTTCTCTAATGGCTAGAGATGTTGAACATTTCTGTGTATTTATTGGCCATTTATACCACTTCTGAGAAGTGTTTGTTCATTTCAGTTCCCCATTTTTTAATTGGGTCTCTTTTTTTTAGTTCTTTATGTATTCTAGATATTATTCCTCTGTCCAAGAACAAGCTGGCAGACGAACATTTTTTTCCCATTCTGTAGGTTGTCTGTTCACTGTATTGATGGATTCCTTTTCTGTACTGAAGCTTTTTAGTTTGAATAATTTGGTTTGTTGATTTTTGTTGTTATTTCTTGTGCATCTGGGGTTGTTTCTGTTGGGAAAGTCTTTGCCTGTTACTGTGTCTTCAAGGGATTTACCTACTTTCCAACAGACTGTTTCTGTTACACTGCTTAGATCGTTAGTCCCTTTTTATCTTTGAGATGAGGTCCTGCTCTGCAGGTCAGGCTGGCCTTGGACTCGCTGTGTTTCCCAGGCTGGCCTCAGAGTCTCAGCAATCTTCCTGCCTCAGCCCTGAGTGCTGGGAGTACCGGTGTGTGCCCGCATGCCCAGCTAGGTCTTCAAGTACATGGTGAAAGACATGGGTCTAGATCTAAACTTCTGCATGTTCAAAATAGAAAATTTTAAAAGAGCAGGAAATGGGGATGGGGGACGGAAGAGAGGGAAGGGGAAGTGAAAAGGATCAAGACGGGGCCAGGCGTGGTGGCGCACGCCTATAATCCCAGCACTCGGAGATTGAGAGAGGATCCTTGTGAGTTTCGAGGCCAGCGTGGGCTACAAAGTGAGCTCAAGGCCAGCCTGAACTGCACAGCGAGACCCTGTCTCAAAAAAACAACAACAACAAAAAAGGATCAAGCTGCGATCTGTATTTGCTCCAGTTCTTCATGATGAGCATCCTCATGATGTACCAGAAACATACTAACTTAGGAAAAATTACACACACACAAAAGAATACCTTTAAAAGAGTTAGTGTACCTCTGCCGGTTACATTTGTCTACGTGCCTAGGCTGAGAAGTAGTCTGCGCGGGAGTAACGCAAGACTGGCCGAGCCTTAGTGCCGGTGCAGCGCAGCCCACAGACAAGTGGCCTGCATGCTGTGTTCGTGAAAATTATGATCTGTAGAGAGCAGAGGGCTTTGTGCACTTGCGTTTCCGCCCCAGCGGTCTGCAGAGCTGTGTCGCTTGAGTGTGTCGCACAGCTGGGGCCGAGCCGCGGAGGGAGACCTGTCGCCACCCTCCCTTCAGCATGCTCTCGTGCCCTTTAATCTTTGTGACACTGGATGTAGTTGTTCGCATATTTTAAAAACAGGTTTGTAAAGGTTGTCGAGCTTTTAAAAGTGTTCTAATCAGCCATCATTGTTTTTAAATGTACTCATTTTGTCTGTTTTTAAGTTTGCCGTTGTGATCATTTTGGTGTGTTGTTTTCATTTCTTACGTTTTTCATTAACATTTTCATTGCTTATTTTTCATGCCAGTGTACTGTGTCACCTCACCCAAGAAGGATGGTAGGTATAGGGAGCCACCTCCTACTCCTCCAGGATATGTGGGAATTTCTTTAGCCGACCTAAAGGAAGGACCCCACCTGCACCTAAAACCTCCAGAGTATAGTGTGGCCGTGCAGAGGTCAAAGATGGTGCACAACAGCCTCTCTAGACTGCCAGCCGCCTGTCTCAGTGGCAGCCCCGTGGCCTGTGTCTCATCGAAGATTGTAACTCGGCCTCAGAGGCATAATGTGCAGGCATCCCATCCTAAACTAGCAGATGTGACTGATCCAGATAGCGAAGCAGATGGTATGTTGACAAACTACCTTAATGGCTCTTAAATGAATTGCTAAACACAGTAATGGGTCTTTGTTCTGGTATTTTGTGGTGATTAGTAATATGTGGTTCGTTTATTTGTTTTGTTTTTTAATGCTCTAAAAGTCTCGGTTTAAAAATATAGCCAAGGGGCTGGGGATTTAGCTCAGCGGCACAGCGCCTGCCCGGCAAGCACAAGGTCATGAGTTCTACTCCCGGTACCAGAAAAAAAACAAAAAAATAAAAAAATAAAAATATAGCCAAGCTGGGCATGGTAATGCATGCCTTTAATCCCAGCAGTATGGGAGGCTGAGGCAGGAAGATTGCAGGTTCAAACCATACTGGGCAATATCCTGAGACCCTGTCTCAAATTTTAAAAGAGGGGCAAGGGATGGGTTGGGGAAGTAACTCAAGTCCAAACACCCTGGGTTCAATCCCCAGGCCAGGAAAGAAAATTTTTTAGCCAGATGTGGTGGTGCATTCCTGTCATTCCAGCTACTCAGGCAGCTGAGATAGGAGGATTATAAATTGTAGGCCAACCTGGGCAACTAAACAGGATCCTGTCTCAAAATAAAAAGGGCTGGATGTAACTCAGCAGTGCAGTGCCCCTGAGTTTGATCCCCAATACTGCTGAAAGACAGAAAGAAATCTCTAAATATGATGGTATATTTTTTAAATGGGAAAGGCAAACGGCTCATTTTTGTGCCCAGTAAGCACCCTCCTGACTCAAGTGTGGTGTTGTCATCTTGGAGAGTGGCAGCTCAGTGTGGGAGGGTGATTTTGAGGAGGAGTGCTGGACATTACTGGAGTCGTGTTTTACAGTAACTCATGCCTGGAAACGTTCAGAGGCCAAATGGTCTGACAGGGTGCTGTTGATCTAGCAAACTCCCGACTGACTATAGTTGTGGCAGTCGTTTGAAAAAATGGTTTGCTTTATGAAAAGTAAATGAACTTTACCCTTTTACACAAAATAATAAAGTGATTAAAAACCATTTGTGAAATTCCAGTTTATTGTCGCTCATCAGTGTGATCAGAAATCATGTTAAACTAAAATCTAGGCTTCGATGAGATGTTTGAGAGGGTTTCTTCCCTGAAACTGACGACTAGAGTATCAGCTGGTTTTCAGTCACGTGCTGATCTGCCATCTCGTTGTGTTGTCATTTTCAGAAAATGAACAGGTGTCAGCAGTCTAGCCTTTGTGACGCATTTGATGATCCCTGCACGTCAAGGGGAGTGGACGGACCTGTGATTCTGCTGGCCGATGCCGACACATAGCTCGCTGCTGCCCCGACCCCGGGGTTCATCGCCTTGCTCCGAGCAGCGAGACAGACCTGAGTACACGTCCCTCCGTGTCATCCCTGCAGACGCGTACTGTCCTCAGCTGTGGATGCGCGCCGGGGTCTACGCTCTGCACTCCAGACCTGCCTTGGGACCCCGTCACCGAGCAAGTCCAGGCTGTGTCCTCCACGTCCCCGTGCACATCGCTATAGATTCTCCTTGTACAAGTGATTTTATAGATAGTGGTATTATTATTTCCAAGCCATAGCTTGGGCTAAAGGATGAATTTAGAATGTCTGCCAGTACCGAGAATATTTCTTGTGTATTTGAAAAGTAACTTATTATTTGTAGTGTTGTGGTTTTGTTCATGCTTGAGAGGTTGCTTGGTTGGTTGGTTTCGGTGAGCTCTTCCTGGCCAGGGTTCGTTTGAGGCCATAAAATTGTCTCTGGTCTGACCAGACTGAAGTCGCCCTGCCAGAGAGGGCTGTTTGGTCTGCACGGAGATGGACCTTCTCCGTAGCGCCAGGACAGTGAGGGTCTCGGTGTGAGGAGGCCGGGAGCCTTTCGCGGTTGGAGTCTTAGGAACCTGCTGATGGCGGTGTGGAGCTGCCCCGGACTCTCCTGCCAGTCCTTTGGGAGGAGGGAGAGGAAGAAGGATAGGCAGGTGGTGACCTAAGCTTCCTAGGCAGGAGGGCGGATGTCCAGCGACACGGTGCGGGTGCTCCCTGCGGAGAAAGCTGTGCGGCATCAGATCGCCGCTTGAGGGCGCTGCTGTCCAGAAACCGCAGGCTAGAATTTCCCAGCGCTCAAGCGTCGCTTTCAGTGTAGCTCACGTGCTCCCTTTAAAGAGGAGTAACCCTAGGTGCTTGTCCTTAGGAAGGTGAGCTTGACGCGTGCCTGACGTGTGCAGAGCTCTCGGGGCAGCTCACGGCACCGGCTGCACCTGGTCTTAAGAGTGAGCCTGCCGCGCCCGGCGGAGGTCAGGCCCGCGGGAAGAGGACGGCTGGGGGAGTCTGCGGGAGGAGGAGGAGCGAGGAGGACGGAAGGGACGGTCTCGGTCCTCAGGTAGCTCCTGAGAGCACGGGCCTTTCCGGCCTGTTGGGCGTGGCACTCTTAATTTAAGTATTTAATTAAAATTTCAGTAAGTGTTTACTGGATTAAATGGATTTTTCACATTTTTATGAGTTTTAATGTATTCTGTATATATGAAGTGTAGATTTTTTCATTGCTTTTTAATATAAAGGGCAAGTGAGATTTCCTCAGATTCTGCGGTTACGAGAAACAAAGCCAAAGCCGTGCCGGCGCGCTGCTCAGACCAGCGTGGCGCCAGGACGGGTCAGTTCAGGTGGGCGTCTGCGCGTGACCGTAGGAGATTTATTCAGGCTTCTGCAGTGTAAGGGTTCGTACTTTCTCCCTAGTTTCTCCCTAGGTTCTTTTTCTGTTTCCTGCCCGTCCTCTTCATTTTACTTTTTTGTTTGTTTAAGACAGGGTGTCGCTGTGCAGCTCAGGCTGGCCCTGGCTTTGCTGTGGGGCCCAGGCTGGCCTCAAACTTGCGGCAGGCCTCCTGCCTCAGCCTCCCGAGTGCTGGACATCCCTTTCCTTTTACAACCGTGTCACTTCGGTGTGGTAAATGGGAGTAGTTCGTTTTTCCCATCAAAATGAACTATATTTTAGGGAAAATAACATGTCTGGAAAATCCCCCTAGGGAAAAAATATTAACATGCAACTTAAGCCTTAGAAGTTAACCCCAGGTGTGTTAAGAATAAAGCTCCCTGGCTCCGCAGTTTTCTTGGTCCTTTGAAGTGAAAAGTTGCCTGAGCCAGACTCTGGCCTGGAAGTCACACAGTAGTGATTTGGCCTGTGAACAGCGGTCCTCTGAACCCAGACTTTCTATTCACTGATTTACATGCATTGTTTCCATGTCCAGAGCAAAACAGAAAATGAAAAGTATTTTTGCTATAACCACCTTTTTATCCAGGTTGGGTATTTATTCTCACGGTTTTATATACACCAGAAAAATGTGCTGTTTGCACAGCATCCCTTTATTTAGCATGTTGTCAAACCAAATGGAAGCCTTACTTATCTTGTCCTTAATGGTGTAAATAATACCTTGCACAGAGAGCTAAGGCCTGTGGTTTTGGACTTGCACCATGTCGCTGCCTTTGTTGTATGTAGCTTTAACTATGAGTGTTCAGATCAGCTGATCACATTGATCAGGAACTAAAACCAAATGCTTTGCAGTTTGATATCCTTAAAAAATAAAGTTGATTTTTTTTTAAAATCTTACTTTAGGGTACATTTCTGCCGTTGCTCAGTTTATCATATGACTGCCACAATGAAGCCTTAACCTGTATGTGCTCCGGTTCCAAATCTCCAGTTTTTTCTTATTTTCATTTTTAAATTTCTAACTATTGAAGAGGTTGATGCCTTCTCTTCCCACCACAACTTGGCATCCGCCAAGACTGCTGAAGCAGCAGACCCTCAGTGCAAACTTCCGCCAACTGCTGAGTGTCAGCACAGTGTCCTCGTAATGAAAGACTGGAGAACTGGTAGGTTCCATACCTGCGTCTGTTAAAGTTTATGATAACTAGAGGCGTTCATTTCCTTCAAATGATCACTGGAGAGAAAAATCCTTGCATGAGTTTTCATGACAGTAACAGCTACACCACACCCCTGAGTCTCTCCCTGATGGGAGTAACAGGCAGTAATAATGGAATTTGTAAGAACAGACCTAGGAAAGTGTTATCAAGTGTTGTTTTCCCTACAAAAAAGAGAAAATGTTTCCTTACGAGGTTAGAGTGATTGTTACTTGGATAGAAAAGTTCCTGCAAAACAACTATGTACAGGCTAGAAAAAAGGATAAATCTTCAGAAAAGTGTCACAGTAGCAGTACATTTTCAGATTTAAACTTGAATCCCAGTTCATCTTTAGCTTTTATTGTGCTTTTTTTAAAGCGTCTTTATTTTTAATACACACAGAATGCAGTTAAACTGGATCTTTTAAAATTGAAACTAAGCTTATCATAAAAAGACAAACTTCCACAGCTGTAATAATCATAGCAATTATACTGCACAATTCCGTGATTGTAAGGTATCCTGTAACAAGCAATGTTTGTCTCCTATTTTTTGATACCTCTTAAAACTTATGTCTTTTAGAAAGACAGTGCCTCTGTATGCTTTTTGTACTTTTACTGAGTGTAAATATTTGTTATATTTTTGGTTAAGAGAATGTAAAAGTACCATTTATTATTAGCATATCAATTAATACGTTGTTGGAATCAATAAAGGATCTACGCTAACTTTCGTGCACCTTACTGCTAGTGTCCGGAGCAGGTGGGAGAACCACTCCTACTGATGGCGGAGCCAGCCTGGGGCTCCGGCGGGTGTGAATGCTTTGTTTTGGTTTGCTTTGGTTTGTTTGAGACAGGGTCTTGCTTTGTACTTAAAGTTGATCTCCAGCTGACTGTGTAGCAGGCCTCAAACCTGTGACAATCCTCCTGCCTCAGCCTCATGAGTCCTGGGGCTATAGGCTTGAGCCACCACACCTAGCAAAGCCTTTATTTTTAGGCCTCTATAGAAATGGATGTGGTTCATTGCTGTTTGTCATAATGGGATCTGTAAAGCACCTATTTACAGCTCAGTAGTCAAAACTGTATAGCTGGAAGTGGTGGCACCCACCTGTAATCCCGGCACTCAGGAGGCTGAGGCAAGAGGATCACGCAAGTTCAAGGCCAGCCTGGGCTACATAGCGAGACCTTGTCTAAGAAAACCTGTGTGGTGTGATGAATAGCGGCAAGGCACTGTGGGAGTTGTGTCTCGTAGCTGCGCAGTTGATAACCCAGGCAGAACCGCAACTCTTGGCAGTTTTCCCTGTGGGCTCAGACCTCGGGACCTGGCAAGGAAGGAAGGAATTCTGCTTTAGCACCGTTTGTAAAATCTGCCAGTCTCCCTGGCTGCCCCGGAAATGTCACTCGTGTCTTCTGCCTTCTCTCAGTTCAGCCCGCCCCAGCACAGACACCAGATCTTCCCAGCAGGTCCGCCAGCCCGCCCCGCCATCTCGCCGCGGTCTTGGTGCTTTCCGGAAAGCAGGGTTGGCGCGAACGTGCTGTAGTAGGCGGCACTGTGGCTCGCCAGGCACCGCAAACCCTAGCCCTGGCCACCTGCAGGTGTCTGCTGTACTTGGGAAAAGGGTCTTCGCAGCTGCGATTAACCACGCTGAGCGGAAGACACGACATGCCCGCGCCCGCGCCCTCGTGAGAAGTGGCGGCTCCGACACGGCCAGGACAGCGCCGTGCGGAGGTGGCGGAGGTGCCCCAGCGCAGCTGGCGGGCGCGCCACAGTAGGTGAATCTGCGCAACGTTGGGGCCGGCGAGTTCGGAGGCGGGCGGTGTGCGCGCTGCGGGACGCGGAGAGGGGCCGGCCGGTCACGTGAGCCCCGCCCCGCGGCGCCGCCTCTGGCTGCGCGCTCCGCCGTGGGTCGGCTTAGGGCTGGCTTCAGTTCGTTGATTGAATTAAAAAGCAATTGCTTGCATGAGGACCTTTTATTTACTGAATTATTCTAACTTGCTGTAACAGTTTGTGGGGTTTTTGTTACTCCGCATGCTCTCACCTCTCCGGTCTTCCTGGCTTTTCCCGCTTGCCGCGTTACGCCGGCCCCCAGTGCCCAGCCGGTGCAGAGGAGAAGCGGCTGGCGCGGGGTTCCTGTCTTCGTTCCTGATCCCGGCGGCACTTTAGGCGTCACCGCTGAGCATGCTCATTGCCTTGGGCTTTGTCATAATTATGAGTTCAAGAGAGTTCCCTTTTATGCTGAGAGAATTCATGATGTTCAATTTTGTCAGGTGCTCTTTTTAAAAAAAGTTCAGGTGACGAGATTATTTTTCCTTATCTGTTCATAAGTTGAATTAATTGATGTTCTTCAGTGTTGACTCTGCCCAGCCCCTTCCCTCCACCTCACCTCACCCTCTATTAGAATAAACTCC